CTCGTTTTAGACAATTTCCAGCTTTTTTGACTATTCGAATTTTTTCAATTTTTTTCAAAATTCTCCCCTTCCGAAAATCACCTGAACACGTCTCTGTCTCGGCACATCCCTTCTCTCCTAGACCCAGGTTCTTCCACACACTGACTGCAGGCCTTGGTGTCTGCTTCACACGCCCTCTGCCAGACCTAGTCTCAGCCTCACACGGTCACTCGCTTAGTAGGTTTCCGAAGACGAGCTTTCTGCCGTACGCATTCTCCTCTGCCTCACACGGTTTCTGCTGTACAAGGTCTGCTGACTGCATGTCTAAGTCCAAGTCTTACAGAGACAGTTCTTGCAGAGACCGTGTCCGGCAGAAACTGCTTGTCAGTTTTTGGAGGGGATAATTTTGAAAAAAATTCAAAATTTTCAAAAAATCAAAAAACGCTGGAAATTGTCCAAAAAACGCACAAAACCAAAAAAATAGCGAATTTTCGACTTCAAATTTTTTTCGAAAAATTGTGGCTCTAGAAGGGGTGGAGTCTGGGAGAATTTACATGTAGAAGTAGAAATGGATGACAGTGCAACATGCTTTTTGTATGTTCTCATATATTTGGCATGCATTTTGTTGACCAATATCTTCCAGGAATGGCCTCAACAGACCCTGAACCAGAGGATAAGGAAGCTTTCATCCAAGCTCAGCTCTACGATTACCATTACAAATCAGCATTGCCAAGCTCATATGTTTGGCCAAAACTGTGAGCAGGTCAGCTCAATAACCCATAACAAAACAGCGCTTACATCTATCTACTCTCTTTTGCTTTATTTTAATTTTGTTCAGCTTGGTAATGCAGTCTAATTTCTTCAAAAACAGAGCTGGTGTAGCTTCCTGTAATTTTTCTGTACAATTATTCTTTTGTGTGGTGTGAACCATAAATTATTTCCTCTTATTTAAATACTGTGCATTGTTGATTATTATAATATAATAATAATAATAATAATAATAATAATAATAATAATAACTTATGCTATTATGCCTCAGAAATAAGGACATGCAGAAAAATTATTTCATACATTACTAAATAAAAACTGCAAAATAAACCTCTGTAAATAAGCAAGTAAATTAAGCAAACAGATTAATATAAACTGGAATCACATATCCATATGAGATATGTCAGGCAATTTCAATTTATGGTGAGGAAAAAAATATTAAATGTGGTCTCTGACATAAATATTGAAAGTAACTTTTTTGGGCAACTATGCTGAGTAAAGAAAAAGACCACAGCCGACATTACATACTTGACACCTTATATCAAGATCTTTAATTGCATTAATCTCTTATTCTTTAATGTCTTTAACAGAATTTCATCCTTATACCTTACAATATTATTTTAATTCTCAAATGTTAATCTTAACTTCACAAGTTGCTAGCACTGTTTAAAGTACATCTTTAACTAGGCAGGGATAATTATAAGAAGCATGTCACTTTTCTATATGTATCTATTTTACTGTATTCTATGTAAAAAGATTTATTTTATGCATTATATACATACATATATATAATTCGGTTTGGCTTAGTCATTCATACTTTTCTAAAAGCTGTAATTTGTTGATGCTTTTAACTAAAATAAATGCAAAATAATGGAATTTTATAACTTCTTGCTTTTTACAATCATCATCCAGTTATGTACTCAATCCTTTTCATCAAACATGGCCTCTGACTAAAATAAATTTTCTGCAACATAACTGCCAACAACCATGTGTAGTAAGACGGTTCAATAACCCATAACATGTGGGAATAGGGGATTTGAACCCCACAGTATGGTGCCACTGATTGAACTTAAACTCTGAGGAATCTAAATTCTCCAACATATATATTCTAGCTATACACAGATCTCCCATAGGCGATTTTGAAATATTCTTACACAAGTTAGAAGGAATTATAAATTACCTTTATAAACCTAAGGCAGAATCTGTCATTTGTGGTGACATTAATGTTGATTATCTTACTGAAAGCTACAACAAACAATGTCTGAACTCCCTAATAACATTCTTTAATCTCATGTCAATAGTCAACTTCCTCTAGAATTCAAAATTACTCCAGTACTGCCATTGATAATGTTTTTATAGACAGTTCCAGGGCTTTTCTCCTGATCTGTGGACTGTATGTTATGTGACATGTCACCTGTAAGCTCTTCATCAACAGCTTCAATTTCTGCTTGCAACTCTGAACTGTGTGTGAGTTGGTGTGGTACAAACAATCTTTAACATAGCCTCAAAGGAAATAACTGCAGAGATTCATACCTAGTGAATGTGGTGACCAGGACCACCAACGCCTGAAGCACCCTGGAAATCGATTTGACGAGACACGACTACAAAGCATATCAACCGTGATGTCCAAGACAACATTTGCTGTATGTGCACATTCCGCTGGAAAAGTGTTGTGTTCATATGCCTTGCTCTCTGAATAACCAGAATGACCTCATTTTGCAGTTGCTGCAGGTACCATTGGCTTCTTATGGTGGCCTGCACAAAGACCAGTCCAGGTTTGCTGATTACACACCATATTGTACATTTTGCAGTACTGCTCCACAAACTGTAAGGAGTCCCAACAAAACTCACATTTCCACTAGTGTAATGATCATCTGTACCACTTTGATTTTGTAATGATACAATTTAAAATCACTTCACGTATGTGTGAAACACTGTCCTCCATGTGTGCTGGCCTGTGCCTTTCCACCACACGTTTCTAGTTGTTGCAGACACTACCATGTAATTCAAACTTCTTCTGGTGCTTGTTGCACGTACATTTTATTACTAACTCTTGTAGCTGTTGAGTCAGCACACAAAAATTACTACCATTGTTATGAACTTGCAATATAATGCCTGTATTATTGATGCAGCATCTACGATTACTTATTATTCTAATCAACTATTTGTAAATGTTCAGGGTCACACACCCTCCATACAGGGCAAAAAAGAGATAGTGGATCTGAAGTTCTGCCACACAATACTTGGACCAAATGTTTTGTATTTATTCTTTTGTATTCAGCCCTATAGTTCCTCATTCTAGATCAGTTTGTCACAACATATTTCAAACTTTAACTCTTGTTCCTAGTATGAAAAGTTATGGAAGGTGGCAATCCTACAGATATCAAACACCTCTAAATAATTAAACATCTTGAAATCTCACACAATATATATTTATTTTGTATGTTGGCCTGTCTGCCTTAATCAGACTGCTGAAGAAAAAAATCTCCATAGTTTGTATTGTCACCTCACAGTCATTGTTTGTATCCTGAGTATATGCTTAAGATCTTGATTTCTAATTTAGAAATCACAACTATAATGTTCTGATATAAAAATCTCATCTCATAGCCTTGGTATACAACAATACATACCATTCTTGAACAATAATACACTTAAAAATTAATAAACATAAACATTATATGTATACACTATAATGCAAGGCTCTAAATAAAGTACAGATAATATGTGACTCTGTAATCACTCCCTATTGTGTTTTAAAGACTCCAAAACAAAATATCAAAATCCCATACTTCAGGTGAGCAAAAATACATGTCTATAAAAAAGGTTAATTTAAAGTATTTAACACAGGATATATAAGACAATTCAAACAAATCAATCACTGATAATTCAAGCAAATGAATTGCTTTAAGAGCTTCTCTTACAGAAAATCCTTCTAAAAGACATCAGTATTATTATGAAAAATTGTCATACTGAATATAAAATGAAACATTCATCCACTTCATCCCATTCTGCAGCATATTAACCTTTAATTTATAGATACATGACAAATGGGAAAATTTTATCCATCACAGCAATTAATCTCTATCACCCCAGAGTTGAAGTCTGGTTAGCAGTCCCAAAGTATGGAAGATTAAGGCTCTTATTCCCATATGATAAAAGTTAAAGGTTAATTTAATCACAAACATCAAACACTATACTGTAGAGAATAATGAATAATGTATTTTTCTTTAATAGATTTAAAACACTGCAACCCTTCAAACAGTAAGATATTTAGAAAACAAATATTATGATATATAAATATATATATCAATCTTGAAAACAAAATTATTACATCCATTTCCAAAACCGACTTATCAAAGTACTGGCTACTGGAGTAGTTTGAGCTTGTCTTCACAGCTATTGTAAATCTAATGTTCTTTTTTAACATATCTGTGTTTAAAATTTATGAAAATATTATACATTAATTACATATTTGTCTTGAATGGTAACTGAACTGCAAGTAACAGTACTTGAACAACACTGACTTTTAAAAAATTGTAAATTTGTTTATTCCTTATTCTGTAAATGTCAAAATAGTTTGCCCTGGATTTGAAACAGTGAAACAATGACAATTTTTTAACTTTCAAAAATGCAATATAACAACACTCAGATTTCAGATTCTTATCCTTCTCTGAACACTGATTACATACTTACACATATGTGATTTGGTAACTATAAAACACTTTTTTTTGGAAGTGGTAGTATGAAAAAAGTGGAGATTCACTTTTTTTCCTGTGACTGCAGGGATTACAAAATTGCTAAAACTGTTGACAAGACCACACTGAGCAAAGTGACTAGAAAGTGTGGCCTCTTAGATTCCGCAAGGTTGCAGCCATCAGATGAGCATGTGAACACACACGAACGATATTCAAGTTGGTCACCAGGTTGTCTGATATAATTGCAATAGTTTCCCAAATCCAAAGATGAACAAAATCGTTTTGTTCCGAGGCCACCTGAAATTGCAGTATTAGTTTAATATCAGCACAGCATGAAGAAATGATAATCATGTCAAGAAACAATACACTGGAAGATAAAATGTTTAACCTTAATTACTGACAGTCTGCTTTTATGTGATTCCCACCCCTCAAGTACATAAATATCCCACTTCTCATACACTTTATTCAATAAAGGTAATATAAGTTGGCACAGGTATAAAGCATGCACTTATGATGTTCCTTGCATACCACCCACCACATACAACTTATTCACTGTCATGTAGGTCACCATTATCCACTGCAGACCTTGTACCTGGTAAATCTACGATGCTTGTATTTGTTTCCATGCCAATGCCATGTCTCCACTGGTAGCAAAGAAATAATTAAGCTATGGCTTGTCTGGCTACATGTTGATAAGAATTTGTATGGAGACTCTCCACTCAGTCACTGTTGCATACAGAGATATGTATAAAGTGCCCATTAATTTTATCCAGTCTTAACCAAAACTGGATGTTAACAAACTTTTTTAAAACTGCCCAATAACAAATTTCATGAAAATCTGTTACACAATTCATGAGTGTAAGATTTGAGGTTTTCACAGCGGTGAGTATGAAGATTTATGTCTTCTGGGTTGTTGCGCTGTGTAGTCTGGTCGATGCTAACCAACGTTTCAGAGGTCATACTGCCTCCGTCATCGCCCTGATGACCGAGGCAGTATGACCTCTGAAACGTTGGTAAACATTGACCAGACTACACAGCGCAACAACCCAGAAGATAGAAATCTTCCATTCATGAGCGGTTTCATGATGACACACACACACACACATAGCTATCAAAGCTATCAAAGTGCCATTTTGCAACTTGGTGCCTAAAAATGGAAGATGCCTCATCACATATGCCAACCATTCAGATTACAGTATGCATGTATCATGTACAGGCCACAGTGGGTAGCAGTGTCCACACTTACAAATCCTGCACACACTGAGAAATTTAAGAATAATAACCACAATGTTTAAAAGCCTGGGATAAAAATAAATGGTAACAGTAAACATGTTAACCTGTGCCAGGGAGTTATTTTCTCATATACAGAGTGAATGTTCATTGCCTTTGAATCTATTATGTCCTGTAATCCTACACAACCTAATGAAGTCTCTTGTGTTGGTCTTCTTTCAAGCACTTGTTACAGAAATATAGTGCTACTGAAATGTATGCTGTGCATTAACCAACCAAGAGCCAGATACTAGTTTTAATTATATAGCACCTTTGTAAAAACATTGTAACAGACTACAGTCACCTTCAGAAATTAAGGCATGTAATAAGTCACAGGACAAAGGTAAAAAGAAAAAAATATATAAGGAAGGAGTAAAGAAAAACCACCCATTGTTGTATGAAATAAATACTAATACTTTCAAGTAAGAGTGTGTAATGCTTGCTGAGTGGGACTGCAGAAACAAAACAAAATTTCAAGGCACTGAATATTCACCCTTTGTGTTTTATTCTGAATACAGTGAAACTTCACAAGTACCATCCTTCAAAAAGGTTGTTTCACATTTGTGATGCTTACTTCATGTGACCCAGTCTTAATTCAACAAAATATGTACATTCTACAGAACAAATTCAGTATGCACATTAGCAGCATTTTTATTTTAAAATAAAGTATCAGTGCAAACATTACTTGCTTGAAACATTAATTGACCTCATCTACACAATCATCAGCCACGTGAGTGTCACAGTTCAAATGAAACCCATTTGGGAATTGTTCTGAGTAAAGTAGTGGAGGCCATTAATAATCTATATATGGGTCTTGAGGCAGGCATCCAACTGATGCACTAGCTCATGGATCCCCTCCACAAAGAACTCCCTGTTCTCCTGCTGGAATCACCACAGCCCTAACATCTTCATCTGACCTGAATCTACAGCCTTCTCGTGCTTTCTGGAGAAGGCCAACCACACGGTTCAAGTTACAAGGTGACAGGTCCAGGCTGTCTGGGGAATAATTGAACACCTTCTAGTGCACAGAGTGGAGCAGGTCCTGGACAGTTTAGACCATATGTGGACTGATAATACTTGTGACATGTAATGTAGCTTATTATGAACCAGGTATCTCAGTCAGTATAATGACTGGCTATAGGCTGGCTGATCAGGGTTTGATCCCCGACACAGGCAGAGGGTTTTCTTACAGCCTCTTCATCCAGACCAGTTCCAAGGTGCACCCAGCCTCTTGTCCAATAGGTACCAGGGCCCTTTCCCAGGGGTAAAGTGCAGCTGGAGCATGCTACTGACCCTTCTAGTGCAGAGGTTAAGAAAGAGTAGGAACTATGCCTCATCTGCCTAAGTGCCAACAATGGCACATAATGGGATGGCAAAAAGAACAAAAATCCACCTATTAAATTTAACTCAACCAAATCTGGTGGCCAGAGAAACAGTGGTCATTCTTTATGTAATGTACAAAAAGTTTAAGTTTTGGTATTTTGGTGATGTTATGAGATGTTTCTCTTCTTACACTTACACAGTTAAATCAAAAACGTTTAACAGACAATAATATACAAAATTATGATGTTTCAGTCCTATTGTTTTTACTAATAACAAGAATGTGATTAAAAAGCCATGAAGGAGTAAACTGTGCGCAAAAGATGTATTTTATTTTGTATTCAGAGCAGATTTTGTTCCATTACTTCCAGACAAATTTAATCAACTGAAGGCATCATAAATCCACCAGCTAAGACATTTACAACAGCATCAACATTCTTTATTCTTGCTGATGGAATAGTAGCAATTTAACATATACCATAAGGGAAAGGGGGATTTAAACCCCTGCACTACAGGATTGCTGGCTGGACTTCAACTGTGTGGCCAGGTGGTCTGTGCACAGGCAATGACACATGGCTGATAAAAGTTAATGAAGCAGCCATTCATCATGTTATTTTACAGTGCAGCAGAAATAAGTTTGAATTGTGAACACTGTAAATTTATACTAGAAAGTACAAATTTGTTTAGTTTTTTAAACTGTCACTATTATAATAAGTGACTGCTAGCCTTCAGTCATATTTCATGGGTTTTCACTGTATTCAAAATCTAACAAATATATTAATTTACTTGTCCACTCAAAATCAAAACTTAGTGAAATTAACATAATTCCTAGATATTGAATTCTCTAAACAGCTTAAATAAATGGATCATTGTTCTTTTATGTGAATCATGATTGTGTAAATCTAAAGATGGCAAGCCCCAACAAGCACTGAATTGTGTGAGCATGCACAAGTACAAACAGTATAGAACATAATGATGTACCTCCATACAGACCAATTGTTTTGATGCAGTAACTCGCCTCAAACACATGGTCACAACTTGTGGCACTGATGGTGCCATCATGAATCATGTAGTCTGTACAGTTGATACTTTTGGAAGATGAGCACTGATAGCAGTCAATACCCATTGCTGATTCCAAAGATGATCATGCCAGCAGCCAGAAGAAATAGCACACTTTTGTTAACATTTAAAACACAATTCCATGCAATCCCAGTGTTATGTTACACAAGAATTTTACAATAACCATGTGCAGAAGCCAAGCTAGAACTCCATCACCAAAGCTGTATGCATAAGGTTATAACTTGCACCACAAAACCCCTGAAGCAGCAATGGGAAACATGATAACTGCCCCTGGCTCTATATTTCATACAAAATAGTAAGTGACGGGAGGAAGACAGAAAATTGTAATATATTATTATTATTATTAGTGTTCAAAAAATGCTATTCCAGTGCAATTTCAGACTGATTCCAGTAATTTTAAAATTTCAACAAAACAAACTGATACTGCTGTTTCTCTGGACTTGATCCATCATTCAATAAACTAAAAATTAAGCCTCTATGTTTTTGGAACTGGCTCTGCTCCCATCTTTAGGTGACACCGAGATTGGAATTAGCCCCTTCTATCGGACCCAACAAAATAATCATTGTCACTTGAAGACGGGAATAGAGACAGCTCCTAAAATTTAGTAGCTTCAATTTTAGAATCAAGTCCAGAGAAACAGCAATACTGATGAAAGGTTTATACAGAAGCAAACCTGGAGAAAACTAAGTGCATGTCTGATCAGCAGAATACAGGACATATTTTATTTGTCATTTATTTAATTATGGTGTCAGTAGTGTATCTCATGTAAGTAACACTATTAAGGTTTATGTAACTCTAAAGGGTTCTAACAATTGTGCATTATAAGCCTTGAACACAGCAGCAGAGCCAGCTCCGTAAGTACAGTGGCTCCATTTTTAGAATACTGAATGATGTATCAACTGCAGACAAACAGCAAAACTGAATGTAACATACCACCATTTGAACTCCCCAAAATTATAAAACCAATTGGGAGTCATCATGCATCCAGCTGACCAGTGTATACCAGGAAAAGGATCACATGAACTGTACACAATACACACACAAGTTAAGTAAACCATTAAAAAAGCAGTACGGATTGGCATGCACATGTTATTAGCTGAAATCTTGTAGAACATGAACCTGAAGAAAAGCTGAAACCAAATACCTACACAACTACTGCCAGCCATGACAAACTTTCAATCTACATTAAAGAAATGGCCATCTTATGCATTTAATCTTATGGAGGTCTGGAGACTCTGTGCAGCATCAAGAAGATGCAATATAGAATGATGTGACATGCATATGCAGTGAGTGACTCTGAAAAAGGAAACTTATCAGTGGTCAGCTTTGCTATCTTGTAATAAACAGAAATATCATCATAATTTGCGTACTTCAACATTCCTCAACCAGTGCACCATCAGTGTGGTTATGCAATGGAATTTCAAATTTAACCTCCTTTTTAATTTACCATAAATAAACCGTGTAATTTAAACAATATTTTGTAAACCACATCCATAGTGACCAAATGTTACAAATGCATCAAGTTTGGCATGTTTGGCTGAAACCATGAGTACACTGTAGGAAAATCTGAACCCATTTGCTTCAAGGTAGTAATGATGCCTGTAATTAAGAGAGTTGTCAGAAGCATTGAAATTACAACTGCCAAAAGCAATATTCCACAGTCGTTCTCCAAACCTTCAAATCGGCCTGTATGTTTGATACAGTACTGTGCCCCAAACACAGCATCACAAGACTTTGGCTCTAGGTCCACATCACTGCCAAGGAATTCATTGCATTGGAATGGATCATCATGACTTGTACTCACACACTGGTAACAATTGATTCCACTTGCTGCAAAATATTAACATTTTAAATGTACCAGTACTAACGCACAACTAGCTAAAATGTAATCAGATCTTCATACTGCAAAGAACTTCTCACTTGTACACATAAACTGAAAATGAAGGACACAGTTGCAAAATATTCTACATTACAAGTAACTCAGTATTAATTACTTAACCAAGTTAGATCTTGTGTAAAATATTACTGACATTGCAATATTGCTTTCAATTAAAAATAACAGTATATGCCACTTTCATTATGCACATACGTGTACGCAGGTTGGCAACATGCCTGATTTGTAGTCAGAAGTATCAACTTTGAATACAGACTGAAGAACCAATTACTGAAACTTGTTTTCTGTGGTTTCCTCAGTCCTTATAGGCAAAGCTGTCATACTACCCTGATCTGTACCACAACCTTCCTTCCTCATCCTTTCCATTTGACCTTGTAGACTATAATAATTACCTCAACTGACACCAAAAACTTTCACAATTAATACAGCATTACAAAACTCTGAATCAACTAATATTCTGGAATTACAGTATAATTCTGGTTCCACAATGACCTGCTGTTACCATTTATCCCAGTGAATATGAAGAATCCCCTTCAACTGAAGAACATTACTCCCAGGTATGACACAATGAACCCATGAATAAGCGCTCATATTGTACCTGTGTGACATGGATCGGCCAGATGACAACTGACATGCTGTCTGTGTTGCTAACAATGTCATAACTAATTGTTGCTAGACAACACCAACTGCAGTCTTACGTGTCAGTGGTAAATGGTGAGATGATCATAGTAAGACTTCAGGCTCTCATAGCAGAAAGTATGATTCTTCTGGGCTATTGTGACATGTCATTGGTAGAAGTTTACTAATGTTTCATAAGTGTTTGATGCCTCCATCATCAGGGCGATGGACCCTCACCATCCTGATGATGGAAAAACAAGCACCTCAGAAAAAGTCAACCAGACCACACAGCACAACCCTGAAGAAAGCAATCAGGATACTTCGTTACTTGGAAAGAAAATGAGGAAGACGAATCTGCAGGTCTAAACAGTGTGACATCAAAACTCAATTACTTCCAGGCTGATTGATGACTTGTCTTCTGGGTGCAACATGTCATCTGGTAGAAGACGACCGGTGTTTCAGGGCAGCTTACTGCCTCCATCATCGCCTTAATAATGGAGGCAGTAAGCACCTCAAGCAAACTTAAGATGTGAGGGCTTCAAAAAATCGGTAAAATATAATTTCGAAATTTCAGAGTCACGAATATTTTACCTAACCTAATACAACCCATACTGATCTGACCTGACCTAAATTAACGCAACCTAACCCAACCTAATTTAACCTAATCCAACCTAAGTTAACCCAAACTAATCTAACCTAACCAACCTAACCTCACGAATATTTTACCTAACCTAATACAACCCATACTGATCTGACCTGACCTAAATTAACGCAACCTAACCCAACCTAATTTAACCTAATCCAACCTAAGTTAACCCAAACTAATCTAACCTAACCAACCTAACCTAAACTTACTTAACCCAACCTAACATAACGTAACCTAACATAATCTATCCCAAGCCAAATTAATCACTGAGTATACAATGTGACCATCACATGACCTTCACATATCTATTACCTCTAAATGATATGTGCAATGACAATCAGATTCCTACAGTTCTTTATGTGTATACGTGAGAAAATACTGCTTCAAATGACCTTGAATGTTTTGGGCCTCTATTTCCTAAGTAGTTTGCGTGATGACGTGGTCTTGACATGACCTTGACCTATCCGTGACCTCATTTTGACATCAGAATGGTCAATCAGGTATTTACGGTTTGGTGGAAATAAGCGTGAAAAGATATGACCTTGAGAAGTTTAGAGACCTGTATCTGAGAAGCTATTGGGCCGATCTTGTCGTGACTTCCATATGACCTTGACCTATCCGTCACCTCATTTTGACATGAGTATGGTCAACCAGGTATTTGCGGTTTGGCAGAAATAAGCGCCCAAAAATATAACCTTGAGAATTTTAGAGACCTGTATCTGTTAAACTATTGGGCCGATCTTGTCGTGACTTCCATATGACCTTGACCTGTTCGTAACCTATAATACACATAAGTATTCTAAGGCAGATATCAGCAGTTCGGCAGATATAAGCATCAGAAAAATGTACCAAAATTGCCAACGACATATTTAGATGGATCTGTCCAGCACACCCTTAGGCTGATTTGGCCGTGACCTCGACATGACAGTGACCTGACCTTGACAACCAAATGTTATGAATATGGGCAACGAGGTATGTCCAGTTTGGCAGAAATAAGCATCAGGAAAAATGAGTATGAGATGACATTGAAAAATTTAGAAGCGTCCATCCCTGAAACCCGTGGGCTTTGTCATGGCCTTACCTTATGCGTGACCTCAGATTTACATGAGTTTCGTAACTCAGATGCGCACGGTTCGGCAGATATAAGGGTGGGGAAAAATTATCCAGTAAGGACCTTAAATATTTTGGAAGCTTGTATCTGGAAAACCCTTGGTGTAATCTTGTCGTGGACTTCGCATGGCCCTGGACTTTTTGTGACCTTAATTTCACATGAATGTGATAATTCAGTTACTTAGTAAGAAAAAATGACCTTGATATGACCTCGAAATATTTAGAGGTCTGTGATCCGCAAACTATTGGGCTGATATTGTCGTAACCTTGCCTTGACTATGGCCTAACAGTGACCTCGACGTGTTATGAGAATAACCACTCTGATACCTGCAGTTCTTAGTAACACTCAACTAACAAAGAACCGTGTTTAATATCAATAATAAAAATACGACATTATCAATTATCGATACACAAGCGGCAACGTCTGCTTTAAATTCATTCCTTTACGGTAGTTGCTGACAGTGTTTCAACATTCACTACGGCTATACACACACGAACACGACGAACCGTCCCCACAACCCTCGAACACTTCTCGATAGCTCGAACTTCTCGATTAGTTTTCTCACCCCTTAGGAAAATCACGGGTCCTGGTATAAAACACAGATTTCTGAAGAAAAGATGTGGTTCAAAACATTTTCCAATGCAAAACTGCAGTAGTCTTAGCTGTCATACAACGTACAATGAAAATCAAATTATTACAAGCATGTCTTAAGCTGTGGACGTTATGGTTGGCAGCAGAACCAGGGAGCAGAAGGACAAAAATGGCATGCAGACAGACTCATCAATGGAGTAACGAAGAAGAAACTTTATCAAGAGGCATGAATAAATAAGTTGCAGTCGAGGACGTTAAACAACAATATCTGAGGCACTAACATTTATACCAATCGGGATTCGAATAGGGAGTGGGAAAGAGGGTGTTTTAATTGTTCGTTTTACTATTGCAAACTGAGTCAAATGGCATATGTAGAGTTAGAGGGTACTGATACGGGGAACTAATTCTTTTACATTCAACACTCTATAACAAAATTTCCTCCTCGTCATACGAGGGCCGGGATTGATGCTGATAGCACAAATAAAATTCGAGTCCTTTTGAACACGGTAATGTATCTTCGGTTTGTATAAAAAGCTGTAAATTTCTTGACTAGCTAAAGGAATATTCTCAAGAAGGATCTTGATCCACGACGTTATATGAAGTGTAAGTGACGTGTTAACTTATGTCTGGGCAAGCAGTAATGGTTCAATAACAGAAAAGTATCTGTGGTATAGCAAAACTGTGTTGAAGTCCTGATAGAGAGCACAATTGTTACTCCATTCTACTTTAAAACAACTTAAAACGCGAAATAGTTTACTTTTCTTTTCTTTTTTGGTGTCTTACTTCCATTACACACTTCCATTTTTAATTTGTTCATGCTGTGTTTCTTTCTTTCCTTCATAAATTAAGGGTAAAAAATAGAATTAGACACACTAAAACATAATGTAATAAACACTGGGAAGTAAAATGTTCTGCATATTCCAGGGGAATGTTTAACGGTTCAGTGAAATATGCATCCGTGTTCAATTGAGAAACCTGTCGACTCAGCGTTACCCACACCATTTTTCCGACGTCAAGAGGACATCGATTGACTTCGAGATGGGTGTACTTTGATCGGCATATTTGGCACAAACAAAGCCGTCAGTCTTTTATGAATGTCGCATAATAACCAAGCAAATTAGAACTCCAATCTGTCAATGAGCATCAAGTAGTATACTGCGTTACAGCGTTTTTGGCCGCTGAACTTTGTGAATTGGAACCTCGGAGCGAGTCACTTACCAGAAGTTTACTGGCAGGGATGACAACAGGCCGCGTACAATATACTCCAAATAAAATATCACCACGGTATGTAACAGAGGAAAGTCGATTTCACTACACAACACAGCACTAGAAAATTAACAGTGCAGAAAGTATTAGATAATTTTATCTTCTTCACAACTCTTCGGTCCTCTTCCAATTCTTCCAATCCTCACAGACCATCCATCGCTTTCTGACATATCACTCGATTCAACACTACCGCTGCTGCTGTCACTCCATTATTTTCAATTATACATATTATATATAATATATATATATTAGTGACTTAGCGTGACCTCCTTTGAAAGCGTGACGAGAGGACACCTCAAGTGTTAAAACATCACCAAGATTTTAAAAGCGTGACAAAGCACACCCGTGACGGCGTGACGAGATGTGGCCATAAGTGCCGAAACGTGACGAATATTTTCAAAACGTTACCGAATCTAACAAACTAACCTAAACTAACTAAACCTATCCTACCCTAACCCTTAATTGGAACACATCGGGACGAGAACACTTGGCCCAATTAAGCGGCTGCCCCAATTATACGAAGTTCCACGTAAAGAGTTAAAAATGTTTGTTCTTTAAGATTTGTCCCAAATAAACGGCTGTCCCGATTAACCGATGGCCCAATTAACAGGAATCTACTGTACTTTAAGCCCGATCCACTTCTCAAATATGAACGACAATCAACTCAAAAGGAAATTGGACTACATGCAACACAGACTAATATAATCGCAAGACATTATAGTATTAACAAACTTATTTATGATTATGTTCTATCTACTAATTAACTGGAGTACATACGTACGTATCCTTTGCGATGGCATACTACTACCTCAGTTGCATTTGTTATTTTATTGCAAATACAAATCTACTTTTGCAGAAACATCTTCGTTTCACACCCACATAGGAGAAAGTCAAATGACGTAGTTAGCAAACAAACTGCCCTCATGCACATTTACTGCGGACATCGGCGTGACCTCTCATTATGGGCTCATTTTATGCGCAAAGAACGCATGACAATATCCAATTTGTCTCGTGCATGGATGGACAATATATACAAATAACAGAATGCGTATCAATTATAGTTTAAAAAGAACTTATCAACTAACAATGCTATCTGAATAAAACAATGTAGAAATACACCTTAGGGTTCGGTAAGCCATCTAGTTAGTTAGTTAGAAATAAATGGAAATAGCATTTAAACAATAATCGAAAAGTCGACGAATAACATGAACTTTGGAGCCAATGGGGCAAAAATAGGCCAATTGGCATAAACCCTGTAGATGATGATTATAACAACACTATAACGTAATCAACACTGTTTTCTGGGATGTTGTGTTATTCAGTCTCGTAGAAACTGAACGACAAATATGCTTCACCCTCATTCCCAAGGTCAGCCCCCAAAACACCACAAGTGCACACATGTCCATTACCAACAATTCTGTAATTGCAAAAAGTCGCTTTTTTTACAATTTCTCCCTTTTCCCCCTTCTTTGGATAGCATCCCATCTGGATTCAGATGACATGGAAAAAAGTTAAATAACAAATTCAATCATATTCGGTCTTCAAAAAAATATAAGGTCGCTCCTTGACATTCGGTGCCCTGCCGCGGCGATGTCAGGTCGAGCCACAATACCCTGCCTATTCCGTCAGTGCCAAAAACATTGCTTGGATGAAATACTGTGAAGTCTGGCAGACACTAACCAACGTTTTTGAGCAACTTACTGCCTTCATCACCAGGGTGACTGCTCGGTGCTACATCCCACACGTAGGCATCACATTCGTCGCCGTGAGAACCTCAAATATCCGGCCAAAGTCTGTTCACATGTGTAAGTACGTCCACGATTAAGTTTGTTCATAGTTACATAACATCACGAAACATAAATTCTGGAAAATTTCGGAGTAGCAAACTGTTTTTGTCTTGTTTAATACATTAATTTATTACGCAATCTATTCTGAGATAATTTGTACTATGCAGGACATCCAACCTATCATGACTACCCTAGGAAATGTTTACTTCAAGGAATTTATGCTGGGGTTATCTACATTGAAGAGGTCAATAAACAAGATAATGTTACTGAATGTTCACAACAAACACTAGCTACATATACTAACCTTATAAAACTACATATTAATCAGTTATCTTTTTTTGTAAACAAATTATTCATTTCATGGTAGATGCAGTTCTTTTGTACACGATCGAAAGGCCTATTTTATCACATATTTTCAACTTTTTCGAAGTACCATGTATATTAAGAACAAAACCAATCCTGAGGCATAACATGACTAACCCATGTCTTAACATTGTATGAAACATGTACACATACAGAATAACTTACCAGTGTTAAACAGAACTGAGAGTAGAGCAGATATTTTCACAATGTGACTAGTGAAGGTAGCCACACCCATCCTTATCTACCGAAATATCTGCAAATGAAAGGAAACTGAACATAAATTCACCTGTATGTAACAAACACACCTACAACATCCACTTTGGAATGCAGGCAACCAAACACTGTTAGTCGACTCTCTGTCGGCCAATAACAACAAACGTGCTGCCATTGGAAACACCAATCAAAATCGTTGCGTGCTCAGGTACAACAACACTCGCGGAACATTTAAAACGAGCAAAAGCACACGCATGGATATCAAAGGAAGAATGCCACTAGTTTGGAGAAGGTTTAACTAAAGCTTCATATCAGACAAATTATATATAATATTTTCGAATGCTAGTTCATGATTTAAAAATGACTCACTCTATTAGGTCAGCCAGACACTTCTCGCCAGACGTTGTTATTGTCTACTGAAGCACCATGATCATCCTACCCTATGATGTATTATGAAGAACGCATCTACGCATGCTCCGATTCATAAACATGTTGGCAACGACTGGTATCTTCTTCGACCATTATGAAATAGGAACATCACAGAATGACAGGGTAAATCATACCGTATTAAAACTGTACTTGACTGAAATACAAAATATGAACAATGTCTTCAGTAGTACAATAAAAAACCTTTACCCTAATTTTTGGCATTTCAGTCTTTAATGCCTATTTTTTTGTTGGTATGGTGAAGGGTGTATGAATCCCCCTCCAATAACTTTAATTCATTTATGTACATAGAAGATATAAGGTGGCTATATTGGGTCTCTGGCCTTCTGTCATGCATGAGCTTTGGTTGTTGCCTTTCCTAATAATTCACCTGTTGTGATAGTTAAGTCTGCAGAACTATTATAGAGTTACTTTTCTGTTATATGATATGCCAAAGTGTTCCCCATAGGCTCAGATATATTCCCTA